AGTTTAACCGTGGGATTTTCCTGTTATTTTAAAGGGAAGTTAACATCTTAATCTTGCATTAAAAATTGGCTTTTGTAAACTTCAAAGACAAGGGATGACAGTTCTCTGATGACAGTCAGAGTAGCTGTATTAACTTCCATGAGTTACATGTGTTTAGGACTGAGTTCAACATAGTGGACTAGTGTATGTAATATTAGTAATATTAGAAGCCATAAATGACCTCTTGCTCTCTCACCACAACAACAAAATATACAACATAAATAACAAGCCTTCAAGTGAAATAAAATTAAACTTAATTTTCTTTGTGAGTATATTGAAATTCAAGGTTGATTTTCATAGCTGTAAAGAAAATTCCTCTATTTTCCTTATTCAATACAAGGATAATGTACAGTTTAACACAAGCTGGAATTTCTTGGTAAGAAGCTTGCCGTTATTTTGATGACAGCAGGTGTTTGAGCAGATTTCTGTTGTTGCAGAAGTCTTTCATCTGTCCATATATATGCATTTTATTTCAACAGCTAATTTAGAGCTTTTAGGCTGCGTAGTACTAATGTCCTTACAGTACCATGTACAGAGTCTTTAATTATGCAGTGTAAGTCTGCAGATACAATAGTCCCTATGAATTTCTAACAAAAAGTAATTACAGCACATATGCAGATTATACTTTTCTACATGAAATAATCCTAGACTTTTTAATTCATTTTGTCAAACATCTAGCTCACATTCTGGACTAATGATCTGTAAAATTTCATTTGTAGTGTAAAATAACTCTAGAGATGAGATCTTTTAAAATCTTTGTAGAAGAGTTACTGGTGTATATTTCTATCACAATATCTACACTTTATAATGGAACCAGTGACAGTCCTTTTCAGTGACAGAGCAGCAGCTGAACAAGTAGGGCAGCTGAACAGACAAGGGCAACCAAAGAAAAATTATATATCATGGAATATGCATCATTGTTCAGACTCAGCACAGTCTTGCTGTGCTTAAAGCAATCTATAATGAAAAATAACAAGATTTTGTTAAAATAAATGAAAATGAAAATTGGTTACTATTCTCAGCTGAGGTTGGGGCAACTGTGAGTCTTAGAAGCTATAAAACATAAAGATATATTTACATGAAGCTTCTGTTTTCATAAGGCCTTCCTGATTCAGTTCAAGAAAGATGATCTGCTCTTGGGCAGCTATACCTATGTGACCTTTTTTATATTCACCACAAATCTTTTGAATCCAACCCCAAACACAAAATGATCCATTTCTTCACAGCATTTTTTGGATTTAATTATTATAGCTTTGAATCCTCTGTGGAGGAGAGTGAATGAAATGCCACCTCTATGACATTCTTTAATGAAACTGTCCATAGCTACTGAGGCAAAGACAGACTGGAATTTAAAAAAAAAAGAAAAAAAAAAGTATTAATTACTATTAGTAACTATTATTAGCAGCACTATTAACTATTAATGACTTTCAATACTGAGAACCCTTTCAAGATGCCAGCTTGAGTTGCTCTTTAGATTTTCTGATCATTCTTTTTAAACTGTGCTGTCTACCTTTATAGTCAACAGAAGAAAATATAGTGTATACTTCAGGATTAAATAATTTAGTACATTTTAGACAACTTTAAAATGAGAAGAACTGTGTCCTCTTCTCCACTGTATTATATTGACTAGATCACCGTTGACTGTGGAGGCAAGCTGCTTTACAGACATATCTATTTAATATGATTAATCACATTTTTATATCCAGTTGAATGTAATGTACACTCAGTAATGTGCATGTGTGCACGTAGAGATTTAGTAGCACAGAAGCTAATCCTTGGGGGTTATGCTTCTATGACTTGACTGTGGGACCCAGCTTCCTCTTCCTGAATTCACTCAACAGGCACTATGGCTTCTGAGGGACAGTGGCTGGGTTTTTACAGGCAGTGGTTTTGTACAGCTTGTCAGCCCTCTGAAGGGATGTGGCACAGCAGCAATGCCCATGCCAGGAGGTAGGTCTCAAGGCAGAGGTGTTAAGGGGCTGCAGTCAGGACACATGGACAATCCTTACTGTGTTGATAACTGTTGCTTTACATCAGAGATTGATAATTGTGAGTCTAACATGAGTTATTAATAAAGCACTCAGAACAAAATATGATCTTTGCCAAATTTTAGAGACCAATAGAAAAAGTCACAAATGTTTGCAAATCATTCCAAACTCAGACAACTCAGTTCCCCAGAAACAGATTTTATAAAACTCAATCATAATTTTCAAAGTTTAATGAAACTGTATAATTCTACCTGTAAAAATAATGGGGGTTTAGAATCAGATGCTCTTCCTGTGCATTTCACCGAAGTATAGACAAGGCTGCTTCCTTTTAAGTTTTTCTTCTGTAGCATAATTGGGCTATTACTTGCCTTATTTCCCTCTTAAACTTTGTCTTTCTCCACAGGACAGACAAATCTGTTAGCTTGATGCCACAGTCATTCTTAGACATTACTTATATGGGACAACATCTATCAGGAAAACATAAATCCTATCTTAACTACCAAGAAGAAAAAAAGATATTATCATCAGATGTTTTGATTGCGAGTTGTGAAGGCATGACAAGGCATGTGCATTTCACAGTCCTGCAAAATAGGTCTCTTTCTTCAATGCATATTGGACATTTGCACAGTGAGGAAAACACTTCATTCTTGATTGAGGCACACTAAAGCCATGAGAGAGGAAATGGATGGATATTTTAAAAGGAATTTTTAAATTTCGTTCTTCCTTTAGATGGGATTACCCCCCAATGTACAGTGCAGGTATGCATCTATATGTCTCTGAATTGGTGAAACAGACATTTGGAAAAGCAGTTTTCCTGATTCTGTGTATTTTTCTTTCCACATGAGCTGTGACTGTAATAGGCAGTATCTTATGTTTAAGAAAGAAAACTCTTCTTTTCAATTTAGTCAGCAGTCATCACCTATATCTGCAAACATTTCTATGCTTAGTAATCTGATCTTAATGGAAATTGCTGGCAGACTTGATGTATTTATTGCTAACCTGCTGTCTGCCTTCCCCTGGCAAGAAATCCTGAGATCAGTAACTGACAGTTATCCATTGCCTGTGCTGACTAATATTTCCTGTGCTCTGTTCTGCAGCCTGCTCTATGTGATTAAGTGACCACATATAGCCATATTTGTTAATGAGTTCATAGTATTTTCCTTAGTCACTTAGCTAAACAAATACTCCATATATTGGAAGGCAGGGATACACTTTATTGCTTCCACATATGGCTCTAAAAGGACATGATGCAGAGGAACACAATGTGCCTAAGCCAACAGGAAACTTTAAAAAAGAAACATGTACAAAGGCTCTAATAATTTTGTGGTTTTTTCCCAGTGAGTTTATTGCATTATTCACTCCAGAAAAACACTGAAGAAGGAGGACAAGGGGTGAGGGAGTATGTGTGTGTATATATATCTATCAGAAGGTGGCCAAATTGTCCTGCTCTGAGTTTTGACCAAAATCAAAGCAAATTGTTTGGGATATTTTTAAGCTTTTAATGAGAAGATTGAGCACTTTGTAGTTTAGGCAGTGAGGCATGAAAGCCCTACACTTGTAAACACTGCTGTTTTTCTGATAAAATATAGAGCTAAATTCTGCACCATGGACAGACTTACTCAATGCTCATTTGCCCAAAATACTTTGATTTTATCTACTTGTTCAGAAGGGGTCCTCTAGGCACAGATTTCACCTCTGTGAGTAAAAATCAGGCATCTTCATGGCATTTCTTCAGCCATCCGTTCCCTGCATGTACACCACCCTGCCTGGCAGCAGTGCTGTAAATTGCTGCAGGACAGACACCTCCAGCCTTCTGGGAACCTCCCAGTGAAAAAGATGGTGGCGGAAATAGATTTCCTGATTTTTTGTGTTTTCCCTTTTTTTATTGTTACACACAGATGTCTTATGCGGTTGTTTGTTTCTAATGAAAAATAATCTTTCCTTAATAATTGTCTTTGACTTAAAACCAGTGGGAGTGTAATGAGAAGCAGGAGCAGGAGGCTTTGACTTCTGTCATTATTGCAGATCTGGCAGAGTACTGATGACAGCAAGGGGAAGGCACCCACAAAAAGTTGTTGGGTAGAAAACCTGATTGGACTAGATGATCACTGTAGGTCCCTTCCAACTGAACTATTCTATTCATGCCAATGCTGTCATGTGTTTTTATTGGTCACGTATGCTGGCTAACAAGGGGAAGTAAGAAGCATGGAGCCAGATAAATGGTTTCTGTGCACCAGGGGCTCCATGAAGTGGAAAGCAGGGCACTACACTGTAGTAATTATCATGGAATAGTCTGCAGGCTGGGAGGGTAGGTTTTCTTCATGCACTTACAGCTGTCTCCCCTGATTTTCCTAGCTTCTAGCTGAGTCACTGGGGCTTGGTGCAGTGCTGAAGATCCTGGCTTTGCTTAGCTCTTGTCTAATCCTGAATCCAGATACTCTAGCTATTCTGACATAGTATTTTATTTGTTAATGGTTCTTATCGTTAAGTGTTTGCTGCTCTACCCAATATGAGAATTTTTAGATTTCCATGTAAAAAAGTGTTTGATATATTTTACTTCTGCTCAACAATGATGCTAAAATAGTTTTCTTTGGAATTCTGACTCACTATAGCCTGACTCAGATGGAAAACTTTGCTGCAGTTTATCACACTGAAGATAATATTAAAGCAAATAGTGCCATTACAAACTTTACATACTAAGTACCACTTTTGACTGTCTTTTAATTGCACTCTATTTTGTATGTTAGTAATTGCTAACCACTTGTTTCTGAATTCCTGTGCTAAATCAAGATTAGTCTTTTTTGGGGAATCGTGCAAAAAGCCCCGATCTTTTGAGTGGCAAAGCAGACCTAGGTTAAGACACCATAGTGAGCAAATGGGAGTCTTCCTTTCTCTAGCACAATTTGGGTATAACTGTACTATTTAGATATGTTTATATTTAGAAAGTGCTTGTGTCCAAACTTACCACCCTCTCAAGCAGTATAAGAAATGGGCAGAGAAAAGACACTGTCTTCTGCAGAGCATTGTCAGATTTTAGTACTTGTTTTTCTTCGGACCTGAGAAAAGAGTGCCAAGTTTCAAAACTCATATAGGAAAAAAATTCAGATCAGTCAAAATTTGTCTAAAAAAGTTTAAAGAGTTAGTTATTTTATATTTTAAATAAATCAATTATATGACACAGTAACAATAAGTCTGGAAAGAAAAAGGAGAATAATATAACCCTCCTTTTGAAAAGGAGGTTGAAATGGAATGTTAAATTATATAAAATTTCTCTTTTCTTCAGATGCAAACATTACAGAATGTTTTAATTTTTAAAGAAAAACTTCAATGAATATTCTAACAGAAGATGATTCTGTAAAAATTTTCAAAACCTACAGTAAACATGCTAAATAGCTCTTAAAACATTGAGAATATTTTTTTCTTACCCTGAGAGGAATATCCAAGGTAAATTTTTAGCCATATGCAGAGCCATTTGCATCAGTTCAGTCATAGAAAAGGTGATAGGCGATGCCCAACTATTACTTTGGCCCTTACGTCAGAGAGGATCCTACTCCAAAAGAGCTTGAAATGTTTACAAATGCCCATGACAGATACTTCAATGTCTTCATAGCTGCAGTCAGAACCACCAGCAGATGGTGCCTTAGCTTAACCTCCATCCATAAATGAAAACCAAATATACTTTTTAGAAACATATTCAAAAAAATTTGCTAATCTCCATTTCTTAGTATCTGAGAAGATGATGAATCAAATGGAAAGCATTTTGTTATTTACTAATAAAAATGAATGTGAGCCTTTAAATGGCAATATCAAGTCATGCCAAAAATATCAAATTTCTTTGTCTGACAGAATGACAAAATGTACCGGATGAAGAGAATAAAGTATATGTGCAAGAAATTTTATCAGGTTCCATCATCTCTAAATGGGGATAACGACATTTAGGAAGTTCATTGGTAATAAATAAACACATGTTGCTGTTTACACACACAAGGTAACGGTGATCAAAGCTTGCAAAAATTAGACAGAAATTAAAAAAGAACCAGCAAAAGAATCAGTGCCACCTTTATAAGAACTGTTTTCAAATTTTATAAGAAGATCTAATTGACAGTAATTCTTTCACTGATCAAAATGCAAACAAGTGTTGAGAAATAACCCTTGCTGTAACTTGGAGAATCGTTTTGGGAACAAACATAGACATAAAGAAAAACTTTTACAGAACAAACAGCTGTTAAAACCTCTATGCAATCTTACACAGGATAAAAGATTACAGAGATGCCTATATACAAGCAAATATACTGCCTTCCAAAAGTTTTTACATAACTATTTTAAGTGTAGGTTTAAGTTATTATGTTTCTTTCATCAACATTCAAGTTTAATTAGTAACAGATGTATCTACATCACCAGAAGTGAAATCTGAACAAAGAAGAAATAGGTTACAAACATATTTAATATCATGGGTTCTTTAAAAAAAAAAAAAAAAAAAAACAATTCTTAGTAGTATCTACTGTAGCATGCTAAATTTTCTACGGCCTTTCTCAGCACCTCAAAATCCATGAAAATAAATGTTTGAGAACCATAAACAACAACTATAATACTGCAAATGCTGTAAACAACAACTG